ATTAACGGTCATTGACATTAGCGCGCATCAATCCGATTGCTTGAACTGCTGAAACCACAACGTGACACCAATCAAGTGTATGCACCTTGCTTTTGTACAATAAGTAACGGGAGTACAGCAAGCAACGATACATACATTAAACCGATGTTGCGAAGAATCGTCAAAGTCATGAGGACCTCAGTTTTAAGAGTAACGTTCCCTAAACAGAATAGCTTTCCGCTAATCAGTGGATAGATCCAAATGGTAACACCACAAAGGCTTGCCCTTGTAATCTGAGACATAATTAGCATCTAAACAATAGAAAATCGATGATTATCCACCAATTAGATCATTTACGAATCACTGGAAAAGCATAAGATATGAATTGGGTAAAATTGATTGCTTATCTCAAAAAGACAGCGTTTTGAACTTATCAAATAAACCTTTTAAAACATTGGGAAAAATGATGTAAATCACCAAAGAGTTTCTGATTGTTACACGAATGGAGTAAAGCTATACAAATCCACAATAACAAATTTTGTTCTGTTCCATAACTATATAGAAATGCATGAAATCGAAGTGCGCTGATAAATATTCACGTTTATCCAAAATTTGAAACATTGAAACCGATAATTAATGAAGCTTTTTCTCAGTTTCATATAGGCCTCGTTCTCGTAATGATTCACTTAGTTTTCCCATCTCGATGCGCTGTTATATATGAAGCGTTCTGAATTCTTGCGTTTCACACTGACTTCATGCCTTTATGCACCTATCGTTTGTCACCATTTTGCTTACCTTGTTTTTGTCATTTAGTATCTGCGTTGCAAAAATTTCTCTAAAAGCTCGATCAAAATGCAGAATTTTATTAATTTTGATAACTTATTCTAAGATGTTAAGTTTTATGTCACAGGATCAAACTGGAAAGAAAGCAAGTTTGACTAGCACCATTTCATTTATTGACGCATTCCTTCTGGTTGAGTGGTCTCCTCCATGTAGTTCATAATCACGCAACACTTCACAAATATTTGACCTCATTTTTCGCTTAAGCGAGATTCTGTCACACCAACTCTAACGACGTATAATTGTTGAGTACTAGACCCGATGTTGTCTTGTGATGATTTATTGCGAACAGTGAAGATCTTGTGTTAGTAGGCTGGCGACCTTTGCTTAAACATTTAGAAAAGAAAAAAAAAAAAGATTTCGCACGCATATGGCGAAATTTTCCAGCAGCCTCCTTATTAATTTCGCTTCTAGCTACAATCTCGACAGTGTTGGGATGTGGAGTTATGCCCGCGGGTCAACGTAATAAGCACACAATTATTCTTTGTACTATCCACTTTTCAGTAAGTTTATTTACGAATGTATATAAGATATCATTAATGCCAAGAGCTGTTATATTCCAAGATATGATGGAGGGATTTCAAATTTTATGTACTGAAAGTCCAATTAAGTGAGAAATCATTCAATAAAGAGATTAGTTATCAAGCTCTTACTGATTGGCTACAAAAATTTGTTACAGTGAGCACGAGGACCTTCACCGTCTCCGGCTTCACTTTGCCTGCTGCCATGGCTTACGCAGGAAGCCCGACAGTTTCAGCTCGTGTCCCTGGCATAGGTACTAATAAAGATGGAGCTAAGGGATTTGCATCACGTCTTGTAATGTATGTTTACAACACCCATATTTCAAGTTTGTTTTCCAAATGTTCCTGAAAGGTAAGGGAAGTCAGTTTGAAATTTTAGGCACGTCATATTTTTAATGCTTCCATTTTTATCGATTTAGAAATTCTAATCAGAAGCAGTTACAAATAAACTCTTCGAACATGTGCAAAACTTTGTTTTTAGGTCTTTGTTGTTCTCGAAAGCCAAGGTCGTAGCGTGCTCCTACCTGATGCTGTAATCCAGCCATTTTGGATCAGCTTAGTCGTCAACATCACATACGAACCACTGCTGTGTCAGAATGTCATACTCAATAGAGCGATGGATATGAGTGAGTTTTCAATATCGAACATCCTTTCATATGATTCCAAGACGATATTTATCATCATCAAAAGAAGAATAGCTGTGTTTACCGATACCCAAAACATCATGATAGTTTCTGGAAAATCGAGAAAAGTCCACAAATGAATATATCAGAGCGTTACCAAATTTGAAACCTTTAACATCAAAGGAATTTATATGTGAGTTTTTGGATAATCATTAGCGGATGACATAGTATTCAGTGTCTCAAGTTATGCTCAGAAAGAAATTTAACTCTTAAACTATTCTTAGCTTTACTCAGTTTTCCACTGCAATGGAAGGAAATGCTATGATAAGACTATTCATTTCTTCCAGTGCCTATGATGGCAAGTGGTTGCATCATCATCGGCAACACTGGTAAACGGATTTGCTCTAATATGAGTGATAGGGAGCAATTATGCATGCCAGTGCCCATGGTCACAATTACGTCAGTACCAAGCAGTCACACGTCATTTTCAGGATTTATTATGGTTTGAACAGCTTTCTCTTTCTAACAAATTTTCTTTTTGATAAGAGAAATGTGTAGACCTCTAACACATCATGGCGAATTGGATGAAAGCGATATGGCAAAGTGTACTGAATAGAGCAGTTCGGATATTGGCATCGGGTCCGCTTGGATTGCACTTCTTCTCTGCATTGGCCACCGTCGGTGGAAACTGAATTTGAAATGTGTCTGTAACAAACGTCCATCATTTAAACGATATTGTTGGTAGCGTTGCAGCAGTAGTGTTGAATCATATGGATGTTGAAAAATCGAAGTAATGTAATAAGTTCTACTGAAGTACAAATTATCTGAATATATAACCAGCTTTAGTGCTTTGTAGCTGAGGAAATGCAAACAAAAAGCACAAAAAAGACTTATTTTTCATATAATGCGAGAGAATATTTCCATTGCTACCGTCAGTAAATTAGGTGATGAAGGAATACAGGAATAAAATTAAACAAAAGATTAGTAAAAATAACTGAAGTAAGATTCTGCGGCGACAGCAGACCAATAAATACCCCAAAAAAACACTCATTCGCTCTTTGACAAGTGTTATATGTGATAGATAAGTTAGCACATAACATAAAGAGGAAAAAAATTCTCCAAACCTGTACTCAAATTCTAGATCTCAATCTGTTGCAAGATGTCTGAAAGAAGTCTGTGTTCCTTTTGACTACAAACCACTGAACTTTTGATTATCCATTAGAGAATTAAAAAAAAAACTTGAATTTGTTCAGCAAAGAAGCTCACAGTAAGCTATCACGTCACTAAAAATTCAAATAAAGGAAAAGTCTGTTTCAGGCTCGAGTTTCCTCAACCAAAACCTTGGACAATGACTTAAATTTCTGAAACCCAAGATTTACCTTTCAAAACACGACACTGCAAATACGTACATGTGTTTTATTTTCTGTGGTATTAAAATATAATTTCAGGCATTTATGTATGTAGATTTTTGCATATTCATTAGCAGACGAAAATCTCATACTAATGTTTTCGGAGATTTGAAGACATATTCTCTCCTGCTTATGCAACCAACCATACAATCGGTAACAAATCTACACAGTGGTATTCTTCCTATCTAATCAGTTTCATAGCTAGACTATCCTTGTAAGAGATCAACGGCAAACCAACTCTCTAGTGAGTTGTTGCCTCCCTTCTAGCTGTTTTAGAGTCGTGGTCAGCCAGAAATTGCGATATCAAGCTTTCATGAAATAATAAGATATAAATAAATTACTGCATCTACTGAGTGTCAAAATTTGTATTTCAGACTTGAGATTCTCTCAGACATTTGTAAATTTTAAATATCCCGCACAAATTCTCAAATACTCTAAAACACATTAGATCTAAACATTTGAGGAAAAGCGGCATTTTTTAACATGAAGTTGTTATTAAAGGCTCCTCTTTCAATAGTCCCCTTTACTTCCATTCAAAATTTCATATCCAGTGATTTGTTAAGATGGCTTGGTAGGATTGAACAGATACAGATGGCATAGAAATTCGAAAAAACCTTAAATTAAAGCCTATAATCAGTGTTATCAACAAAAGGACTATGATTGAGAAGCAAAAAAAAAAAGAAACGTACGGATGAACAACTCACATCTACTCCAAAATCGCAAAAAAGGAAATCTATGAAAGATTCAAGCTCAGTGAAGAGACTTTTCGCAATGTTTCAAACCATTCGTGGTGCAAAAACTCAATGAAATAATGTTGAACACATTCGCATTGACACGATCTTCATAGACGTCAATCAAATTAGGGACACGGCTATTTTTAGAACCAATAAATGTGATTTTTCTGCTGAACCTTTTACGATTTGATTAGATGCTGCTAGTGATGATTGTTGCAGCAAGAGAGTTTCTTTATTTCATTCAAACAAGAGTTTTTGCACATGCCCAAAAACGTGGGAGGCTTCCAAAAGGACACGGAGCATGAATGTGATAAGGGAAGTGCAAAATTTTTTCTCAAAAAGCAGCGAAAAACTTAGTTATACAACGAAGACTGCGCACACGTTCTTATTGCAGAATGTCAAGCCACTGTGACCCTCTTTAGGAATCACGTCGAAATGAGCAAATAGGCGTCTGTATCCTGGGCACACACAAGAATTAGATATCGCTGCGAATAATACATAGTATTTGACCTCTTCTTTTAGCATGAAGGCTTACATTGCATAGATCTTTGATAAAGCACAATTTTCACGAATCTATCATGATAGAGGGTACACGGCACTTTTTGTTGGGCGGCGACAAATAAATTCGACCTCATTTGCTGGACAAATATTTTGATAAGAGTGTCAGTAATTATTCAAAATTAAATCCTCGGCTAGCGCGGTACGTGGCCGCTTTACAAAGAAACCTCTATTGTAACCTGAGAGAATTGAGTGGTTAGCAAAAACACGGCCTCAGGCGGGAATCGAATTCGCGTTTCATCCTATCTGGGACGCGTGCTCCACCACATCACCGAGGCACATTTGCGCCACCGCTCATTCTTCAACATCTCGAAGAAAGAGAGGTGGGCAAAATGGAGGCCAGTAGTGCAAAGGGTTAGAGCACGTGCTCCCGGATAGAGTAAGATGTGGGTTCAAGTCCCGCCTGGCGCAAAAGTTTTTCGTATTACTTTGCATCATTGGGTATATTTGTAACATCATAACACCGAAAAAGGCGGTTAAATGAAGATTTTTATCTTTTCACCTTTATAGTTGATGGTTTTTTAAACGAGTTATATATCATTCACTAAGAACGGTAAACTATTCAATGAGCCAAATGAAGGTTCAAGAGGTTTGATAGATTTCCCTGATGAAAAGCTGTTCCGTGCTTTTCAGTGATCGTTGCAACAGAGGATGGTGTTTTTCCTAAAGCACATTTTTTTGCAGTCGACGCTATACCACAGCACTGCATCATCGTCAGTAACACGACTAGGTGAATTTGCACTAAAATGAAGGGGAACGCAGGAACAATGATGTCTGATACAGCTATGCCTGTCGAAGTTGTTCCTAGCCCACACCTGACAATTTCACGAACTATCTCAGTTTGAGTAGCCTTCTTTTCATGCAAACCTATTTTTGAGAAAATCTGTGTAGGCAGGAAAAAGTAGTATGGCGACTTGTTAAAGCGATGTGAGAAAATTTAGGTGAACAGAGCAGTTCGCATGTTGGCATCGAGTCCGTTTATATCGCACTTCTTCTTGGCATCAGCCGCTGTCGGCAGAAACTAAAATTGAACTGTGATGTATTTGAGGCAAATGTTTTTATTTGACTGGTTTTTCTTGTTATATTACAGCATCAATAAACTGTCAGATCATGTGTTTTTGAATGATGAGACTGATACAATGACCTACATTAGAGTGTACAACATGATTAATTTGGATTTAGTGGTTTCCCTAAAATCCAACTGAGAAATGAGCAAATGGAAAATTTGAGAGAGGACTTCTCCTTGATTATAACCTAAAATAGTGCTCCCGTCGTTGCTTCACTAATGGCCATAAAGAAACTAGTTGCAGAAAGATTACAAGGATGAAAACAATGAAAGATTTGAAATGAATTAATGGAGCGGATCTACTGGAAAGGTACGTCAGAACTTTCATTAGGATTATCCGCCATCTGCTCATCGAGAAGTGATCATATGTGACAGCCGAAATTTGCGGAATAAAGTTGAGAAAGCATCGAGGTTCGAAATTATACATTCAGCCATTAAGACTTGCGTGTCAGCCCGTCCGGGACGGCGGGTACCTGTGCTGATGCGGAGCTGTGTGGAAGAATTTCTCGTTGGGACAAAACTTTTTCTTAAGATTTTCCAATAACCACTCTCAAACTCAAATTTCGTCAGTTTCAATAGTGTGTTTGGTTTCCTGAAAAGCGCTTTTATTGCGTCGTAACAGCGAAAATAAAATTTTATTCCTCGATCACTCTACTTTGTTTGCTCGGCTACAGTCTATGGATATGGTTTTGCTAAACATTTGACAGTCTTCTATAATACAAATCTCAAAAATTCTGAAGTTAAGATTGGCTTTTGAAAAGGTTTTACAGAGCGCTGTAAAGGCGAAAAGAAGGCAACGATCCGTGCTTGAAGTGGATAACTTGTCGGTTGAACAATATAACGGGTTTACTGATCCTAATAAGTAAAGTCTACATGTTAGATACACTTTATCGTACAAAAAGATGGAATACCGCAATTAAAACTTTCCTAAAATATTTCTAGCAAAAAGAATGATCACGTGTCAATAAATTTTCTTTGTTTGTATAGGAATACATTCAGAAAAACAGAAAAAAAAAACACATGAAAAAGGGACTTATTTCAACTGTTAGTGAACATTTTTCTTCCACTTATCCACGTTTTTGTAGTCTTTCGGTGGCTTCATGCTATGGTGAAAGTTGATTTAAAGGATACTCTATAGCTTAAAAAAGTGGTTTTTTTTCTCGAGGTGATCTTTTCAATCATCTTTCCGGCTAAGAGAAGAATTCGAAAGACCGACTTTCTTGAAACCTCGCAATGTTATTAATATAAAACTTTGAAAATGGGAAGAAAAGCTTGGAAAACTAATCTATATTTAAAGCTTCACAAGGTTGGTATCATTTTCCCAATCGATAGTTCTTCTTTCCGGTCGATGGGTTTTCGCGGTTGCTTGTGGCTGACGTTTCGGCAATTACGCCTTCTCCAGAGCCTCACCATCTAAACCAGGGACTACTTAAATAGGTACCTATCTAGGTAGCCCTGGATTAGATGGTATGGTAAGTAATGGTAAGGCTCTCAAGAAGGCGTATTTGCCGAAACGTCAGCCACAGCAACCGCGAAAACCATCGACCGGAAAGAAGAACAATCGATTGGGAAAAAGATACCAACCTCGTGAAGCTTTAAATAAGAAAGAATGCCCAAATTATCATCAACAATCTTTCTTCCAAAACGGACGCTATATTCTCAGAACGACAACTCATTTTCGAACTTTTTTCTCATGACGGCGATATTGCAAGGTATTATTTAACCCCTCTTTGATGCTGGACTTTCAAAACTGTCTCATCTGGAAAGATTTTTGGTATGCTGTCGGTGTAAGCCTTGATAGAGTTCGTATTCACCATTTCTTGGAGTGCCTCTCAAAAAAAACGCATTTTCTTCATTTAAAATTCTCACCTTTGAATGACGATGTAGCTTTTCTACTCATAATATCAGACAATCAATAGCTTAGGCGATTAAAACCATACAATATAAACTAAATAACCTCCGCACATATATTACACCGGCAAACAATTCACTTCAATTTAAGTGTTTCGTGAGACCTCGCTCAAAATTCTATTTAGCTAATATGTCATTTTTGAGCCAATAATTTGCCGTTGTTACGTTGAAATTGTATTTATCGTAGTGAATATGAGGTAGTTTGTGCTTTTTTATTGAACTATTAGTGGTGATTCAATAGCTTAAAATTTAGATTTTGACACTCTTTATTGTTTCTGGAAAGGCCGTCATAGTGTGCTGTATCAAAAGGAGAAGAAAAATACGCCATACTTTTAGCGTAGTTAAGTCGCTTTTAGAACATCACAGTGAGTTTTTTGGCATTTGGCAGCTATATGGCAAAATTACATATTAAAACTTATCATCATTACAAAAATATGCATTTGATGGGATATTTTAAGTTTTTCAGGGATCTGATATAGCATCTCTAGTGCTAGACGCACATTATAGTGCTCTCGCATACCTCATCAGTATCACATAGCTTTCGGTTCACCCCTACAGCTGAGGGTAGCGGCACCGAAAATGTATCACCGCACGTCAACTGAAAAGAACACTATTTGAAATGGAAGGAAAGTTTTATGGCACTTGTGAAAATTGAAAATCTATGCATGAATTCCTAACAAAAGCAATATCAACAATTCTTTAATCTGATAAGAATATAACATGTTTGTATGGCTAGGTCTAGCGCTATACAGGCACCTATTTCGTCCTATTGGGACCCATCAGTAGCACCTTTTCTCGGCTTAACCGATCCCCTGAGACTAAATAATCGACGCCAACTATTCTTCAAAATAAAGTGCATCGCTCTCTACGACTTTCTGCCATAGGTCCGCCAAGTTTCGTATCTGGTTGGAATAGCCATTCCTTCGGCTCCAAATCAAAGAACTCTTGACAAGCTTCTTCGAATTTATCGAGCGATTCAAATCGGACATCTGAACGAGGCTTGCCTTCGAGGCTAAGATCTCCAACATTGAGAACTATTGAAACCAGCGTCCAGCAGCAGATTTGCTCGTAGTGCCTTCTTCTTCAACTACGTTGATTTCATCGATTGCAGTTTGCTGTGCAAGACCCTTTCACCAATAATGACGCAGTAAGACACGAACTGCAATTGTATCGTTGGACATGACGGAGGCTCGCAACAAAGTGAAAATAAAGACTAATAATATCTAGCCCTTCAGTGGGAAATCCCCACATAGGAAACTATAAACCTCCCATATATGCATGGAAGTTTTGCTTATTACGGTGTACCAGAACTTTCTTCCCAGTCGTAGTAATATAGAGATGATTTACAGTTGGTTTGTTATGGCTGATGAAGACTCATACAGCAATAGCTTTCTAATCGACTGTTTTTGAGACCTCGCTTTAAAATTCTTTATAGTATAATGGGACTAACTTAGCCCGAAAAAATAGCATATTTCTAAAGAGATTTTTGGTATTCCTGGTGAAAAGGAGCCTTGAGTTTTAGGAATTGTATATTTAATGAGAAAAGAACATTCTTCTGAGAATTGGACATATTTTCAACTTTGGAGCATTATTGCCATCTATTTCAAGAGAATGTGATCGTCTTTTTCTACACATTATTCGTCCTATAACTACAGCTTTTGTTTACCGTCGACACCCAGAACGTACAGTCCGTAGGAGTGGATTCTTTTCCTACTACCTGATATTTACGTTTCCTTGAACAAGGTCTCTTGACAAGGTCTTGTTATGGCTGATGAAGACTCATACAGCAATAGCTTTCTAATCGACTGTTTTTGAGACCTCGCTTAAAATTCTTTATAGTATAATGGGACTAACTTAGCCCGAAAAAATAGCATATTTCCAAAGAGATTTTGGTATTCCTGGTGAAAAGGAGCCTTGAGTTTTAGGAATTGTATATTTAATGAGAAAAGAACATTCTTCGGCAGGAGAGTGTCAAGACAGAAGTGCACACCTTTTAACAACTCTGGTAAATTTCCCTTAATCGGAGCTACGATGATTCAAATAGAGTGTCCACAGCAGTTGTTCTTGTGACAGTTTCCATCACAGCCGCATGTTAAGACGAGTATGAGTAGAGTGAAGAAGAGCACGATTGAAGTAGTGTTCCTAGGGATCCTCTTTCATAATGGACTCAAGCAACCGTAAAGTTATCTGATGATCAGAAAATAGCAGCATAAATAGAGCAGCGTTCAAAAAAACTTTATTCGAGTGATTTTCGATGAAACTCTTTCAAAAATTAATGGTTTAAGTTTGGTGATCTGACACAGTACTGTTCCCATTGTGCAAGAAGAATATTAAGGGAAAGTATTTTGCCGCTCAGCAATTGGAATAGAACGACACGTAATTCCGATTATGCGATAGTTTTGAAACTTGGAGCTCTTACAACGCGGAACTGCTA